TTTAACTACTATACAACTCTGGTTTCAAATCCCATAAACGAGTCTCCCATGTACTTTTGACTTCCTGACAAGCATGAAACAGAGATCATTGTGCAACACAGATCATCTATTAATTGAGCAACTGGGTTTTTCTTTTTTATTTTGTACCGCATGACACCAATAGCCATCTGAACAAAAATCAATAATGACAACAATTCTCAGCCCAGATCTAGTTCTAGAAAGTTACATTTGCAACTAGAACACCAAGTCTTAAAGTTTTAAAGATGCTTAGTGGTCCAGTCTCAGGCATGAAGTTACAGTCTTCCTAAGGTATTTTAGGAAAAAAGAAAAAAAAAAAAAAAAAGCAAACAATGACAAAAGAAACATAAAGCAAGTGATGGTTTCTCAAATGAAGATACAAAGATGCATTACTAGTTACTTCCTACATCACAGAAGTCATTCATCTGCTGCCAATTAAAAAAAAGGTCAGGAAATTTTAAGAAGAGATACTTAAACCTGACAGAGACCGAAGTATGTATCAGTAAACAAACTGACACCCTGGCAACTCCTATCCTTCAACTTTAAGCATGGCCCCTTACCAGAAAAAAAAAAAAGGAGGACCATCTCATCATAAACAGCCCATAACTTTTCTGCTCTTTGCAACAGTTAAACAAGCTTCTCTTATTAATTAGTATGAGTATTGAACATTACGAGTTTGACCTGACCGTTTGCATTTACACAAGTGTTTTACACTACAACCGGGAAAGGTGGGGGAGAAGTCCTATCCACGACCTCCCTGCATCTTTAAAAAGGTGAACAAGATAAAAACTGTAATAGAAAGCTTCACAGGCACACGCGCCCCTCCCAGATCTCGCCAATTGTATCGCATTAATTCCTACGGTAAGTATCTAAAGCTATTAACTGGCTTGCTCCCACAATACAACCCGCCCCGCTAACCTAACGTCCCCCAACCTAACTAAAAAGCCTTTTTTTTTTTTTTTTCCGCAGGGGAAAAAAGCGTGAAAAACCTTGTGGAAGTGCCCACGCCGCTATGGCGGGAAGAGCCCCCCGGGGCCTGAAGGGGAAGGATGCTCCCGGCCTCGGGCGGGGAGGCGGCAGAACCGAGACCACCTCTTCAGCCTCCTCCTCCTCCTCA